TCCGTGGGCTTCCAGTGCTACGTATCCGTTCCTTCAAGTTAAACACAGATAAGGAAGTTAGACATTCAATATTTTACCTTGGCTGTTGAGTCTGCTGGTCCCGGAATTACACAGTGCTCGGTCACATGCTTGGATCTATAGGCAATGGTCATGTGATCTCTGCTGGAGAGAGGAGTCTAATTCAGGCATAGCTGTTGATGGCAGGGATCACATGACCAACGTTAAAGCATGCGGTCATGTGACAAGCTGCTGTGGGATCTCCAAGGGGCAACATTTCCTACAGCCAAGGCTTCTGCTGCCTTTTTGTTGAGTTTGAACGATTGGGTTCCTTACCCTAGCCTCCCTCTTCCTCTCCCAACAGCTAGGTGAAGGTGGCCATGTGACTCCACCCCCCTCTACTTTGTGACAGTGCCTCGTGATTGGCCCAGCACTGTCATATGGGTGTGTTGAGTAGTCTGTAGCGTGGTATAAGCCCCAGCAAGTTGGTTTGAAGCTTACACAGGGTTCTCTTTCCCCGGGCCGAACTGAGGAGCATAGGTGCTGTTAAAGGGGTACATGATGTTGGGGGAGGTGACCCTATTTCTTTGTCCTGCTTGGGCAAAGGAAAGGTTGTACATTTGAGTCTTTAACACTAAACTGCAGTCTGATCTGAGGGCCGGAAAAAAATGGTAATTTGTAGCCCAAATGGGCAACAAGTTGCAGCCTTTGACCTCCTTATCAGGGGGACCTAAGTGCCTTACAGAACCTCCAGTTCTATTCACATCTTTTTTGGTCTAGAATGGCAGCATACACAATTCAGCCAGCAGCAACATCACTATTTATAACCAATCCGCAGAAGCATGCACCCCACAAATCTTGCTCAACTTTCACCCTGTGTGAATAGACACAAAAACGAGCGTTCTTTGATACATTTTTTTCTTTTTAGGTCAAATATATTTGATGTAATATTGCTTTTGGCCACTAGATGGAGCTGAGAAGCATGAAATCAGTCTTTCCAATGCTCCTCGTCTCCATCTAGTGGCCATGATGCAGTATTGCATTACATACATTTGAGCTGAAAAAAAATGTATCTGAGAACATTCGTTTTTACATCTGTGCGCACAGGACTAACGTTCAGGAAGATTTGTGGGGTGAATGGCTCTGCTAGTGGGTTTTTAGTCGACACTCACATTTTAGGGACCAATTTCTTATATCCTTTGCAAAGAACACTAAGCCGACAACGGTCAGTATTAAATGCTTGAAACTTCACGAAGGGCCTTTAAGAACATCAAGACTAAGCAAAGGCTTTCCTATTCCGTCATTTGACGTCTTTTTTGTTGTTGTACATAATCAGGTGTAAAAAATGCCCTGGGGCTCCGAATGAAATCGGCAAACCAATGAGAGGTGGCTCCCATCGATGCACATTGGGCTTTGCCTTACTTAAAAAAAAAAAGTCGGTTGACGAATTTGGACTTTTTAAAAAATTCTCACGATTGTTTTGCATGGCTCCATTGTAACCGCTCCAGATCATTCTGTGCTCCTTGGCTTTACAAAGCTTATTGTGACTTTAAAGAGACCCTGTCACCTTGCCTATTTGGGACGGAGTTACCGGTTTGGTGAAGATGGCCCCAACCCATGGAGTTTCTTGGTGCCCATCTACCCACCCCACCCCAATGCTTCTTCCACCGTCCTAGCCGGCACCAAAATACCAGTTGTTGGCTAGTGTTAGGGGGAGGCTAAGCGGGAGTGGCGGTGTCACCCCTTCTGACATGTGACGATGCTCAGGCCTAGTTATTGGCTGCTAGACCCGAGTCGCATGGGAAGAGGCCACACGCTCCCCCTGCACCCAGAAGTGCCTGGTAGAGGAGCAGCGGGGAAGTGCTCACAAGGTCAGTTATCATTGGGTCAAGCCACCCCTATACACAGAAGGGGCGACATCACTCGGTCCTGAACAGGCAAGGTGACTGGGGGCCCCTTTTTAAAGAGACTGATCACGATTTAACGATAATGCGATACTAAAAAAAAACAATTTTCCAAAAGTTTTATATTTATATATAATTTTGTTTTATTCTCAGTTATTATTATTATTGTCGTCGTCGTTATTATATTGGCACAGTTTACTATTTTTTTTTTTTAAATTTTTATATCGGATGTCCTTTCACTTTAATTCCAAAAAAAAAAAAAAATCTTATTTTATTGAACTTTAACGTTCTGCTTTTTTTATTTTTTAAGAAAAAAAAGATTGCAAGGATCAGATTTTTTTTTCTCTTAATCTGTTTTATTTACTCAGGACCAAGATCAGAGAAAAGCGTTGAGATTAAAGCCTCCTGAACCAAATTCCTATTTTTTGGGTTGATTTTTTTTCTTTCTGTTTTGCACATTCTTAGTTGCAATCCTTATATGGTTAGAGGAGTACGTACGTGCATTGCATTATCCATAAAAGTAAGCCTGTAGCATCTCCCGCTCTATAGTTTAGAGATTTGTAAGGTTGTCCTTTTATCTGAGGTGCCCTGATGTGAAATTTGTGACACCCATGTTATAATCTACATTTTTAGGCCTACAAATTACTTCAAACTCCCCCAAACATCATATATTTTCTGAAAGCCGAGACCCTGTAGAATAAAATGGCGGCAGTTGCACAATATTAGTGCAACATATTATCAAACCCACAAAAATGTAGTGAAAAATGCACGAGTTGAATTTAGTGCCCCAAAACACAATATAATGCCCATCCTTTAAAAATTAAATATAAAAGATGAGGTTACGACGAGTAAATAGATACCCCACATGCCCAGGTTAAAAATTATGTGCGTCCGTTAAACGGCGCCAAAATTCAGTACCCCATAAAGTCCATAGATGACGCTTTAAAAGCCCCCCACAGGTCATCAGTATTGAGATGCACGTAAATATTGGCTCTAGAATTATTGCTCTCTCTCCGGCATGCGCGGCGATCCCCAACATGTGTAACGCGATCGTCATTTTCGTACGTAGGCGCACCCAACGCGTGTTTACGTTATGATGTGCGGGGGAATTTAAAACATTTTTTATTTTTACATTTATTTCATTTAATATTATTTTTAAAAATGTTTTTTTTTAATTGCTATCACATAGGGGGGCTTACAAGCCCCCCATGTGATAGCATATTGATGGTGACAGGTCCTCTTTAGGCCCCGTTCACATTGAGCGATTTATCGCGCGGTAATTAACCGCGCGATATTGCTCTTCAATGCTTTGCAATGGGGCAAAGGGTCCTGCTGTCGCGGGTCGTGTGTCGCTACAGCAGGACCCTTTTTGGAGCGGATTTTGCCGCGATTCCAGCTTGCTCAATGCAAGCATTTGCGCGACAAATCACGCAAAATGCAAATCGCGCGGCAAACGCGCGATTTGCGAATCGCGCAGTGTGAATGGGACCTCAGGGTGATACTGGGGGTCCAAAAGACCCCCAGTGTCGTCTTTACACTCTAAATAAGCTATTGGGGTGCAGATCACACTTCAATAGCCTATTGCTGGGCTTCAGGAGCTGACCAATGGCAGCTCAGGGACCGGAAGTGATGTAATACACGTCGCTCCCGGTGCCATAGATTGGGGAGGAGATCGGTGAACGGACGTTCCCCGCCCTCCTTCCCGCTGACACCCGAGATGCCGGGCCCGTAGGAGGGGCAGCGGAGCGTGGGAAACACGGCCGGGGCGGGGACGGGCAGTTTACCAGCCCGTAGAAGTGATCTGGCGACAGCTAAGCCGCCAGAATCGCTTCTAATGTAAAGCTGAGAGCCGGCTCTACAAATGTAAACGGAGTCCCGGCGGCTTAAACGGGCCCGCTGCCAGTAACGTACAACGGGCGTCACTGGTCGCAATGGGGTTAATGCAAGAGGCATAGGTAGCTGAAATTGGCTCGATATCAGCCTCTTGCAGTCCCTATAGACTGGGAGAGGGAGAAGCGGCTCAAAGCAATTCAGTTGTGCTGCTAACACAGAGCATTCTGATTGGAGGTGAGCGCAGGAGGATGAGCTCATCGGTATGCTGCTTTACTTTCACTGACCTGTTCTAGGCTGGACGGTGAGACAAGACC